TTCATGTATAACTAAGAGAATATTTTAAAGAAGTTTTAAAAGAGTTTAAGTTTGTTTTAAGTTTGTTTAAAGGGTTTGTTTTGTGAAAACAATTTCACAAGAGCTTGAGGAAGATCATCTATATTGTTTGAGCATCCAACTCTTCTACCTCTCCCTCTTGATCTATAGAGAAGTTTTTCTAAACTCTATTTCTAGCTATTTATTATTTTATTCATAAATTCCTATAAGCTGGATTTTAATTGAGTTTTGTTGATTTGATTTCACTCATTGTTTACACACACCCACTTGAGCTTATTGTATTTTCATACATAGTATATTTGGGATGATGAGAGCTGTAACATTAAGTGTGAGCCTACATTGAGTTCTCATCTATTATAGAGAACAAATCATTTGTTATATTGTGAGATTGTAAGGTTTTCGGTGAGCTAGAAAACTGAGCATGTTGTTGTAAAGTTTTCGGTGAGCTAGAAAACCGAGTGAGAGTGTGAGGTATGAACGTTGATCGGTGAGCGTTGAAAACCAACATTGTGAGGTGTAAACGTTATTCGGATAAGTGTAGAAAACTCGGTTGTGATAGTGGAGATCTTCTTGAGGTGAGGAGCGGAGACGTAGGCCATGGGGACCGAACTCCGTGAGCATATCATTTGTTTGAGATTGCATTGTCGTACTTATTTTTATGTTCATATCTTATATCACCATTGTGTATTGCTCTTTGTTTATTTAACCTACTATCTAGTTTATGTTTATTTCACCATTGTATTAGTTTATATATCCTTGCATATATTTCATCATATACCTCTTTGCTAGGATATATCTCTTTGTTCATATTGTATATTCTTACTCATATCATATTGTATATCTATCTTGCAAGAATAATATTTGAATTAGTTTTAATTGGCATAAAATCGGATTAGATTAGCATAAGACCCTAATCACCCCCCTCCCTCTAGGGTCTAACAAACGGGTGTTTATCGCCCGCTGCTTGCGTGAGATCTTTGCTTGTGACGGGGACGTTGATATCCATGGACCACCAAACGATTAGATCAGATCCGGAGCTTCATTGATTCGTAAAGGAATCAAGAAACCAAGGCAATTATCTCGGCAACAGCGAGATAACCACTCTTCTCGAGTTCACCGTAATGGGGTAATCTCAAGGGAAGGAACCGGGCTACAGATCTGACGAACTCCTCTTCTTTATGCTGAAGAATTCGCTGGTATCTCGTCCTCCTCTCTAAAATTCGTGGCTCTTTAGTCCTCAGTTCGGTAGGGCTTCACCAACGCTCGAGAATTCCATATACGAAAAAATAAAAGCCCTGGCGCTATATTTATAGGCTTTGGGACCTCTGTTTTTGGATAAGAACAATTGATTCACTCTTATCTTCAGTTGTAACCACTTAACCACGTTCTTGGATAGATTCATATCAGTTGGAACAAATCCAGATGGTTAACATTGAAAAATAGCTTAAAATAACCAAAAATAGGTTTCGGGGCTGCGGACACCCGTGGGTGTCTCGGCCTGGCCGAGACACCAGTGGGTGTCTCGGTTTGGCC